TATCAAACATCTCAAAGAGGCAGTGATCTGCTCCTGCTCCTGCTGAGAGACTTAAATTAGAATGACCCAGAGGACAGCGAGACCTTGCTGTGATAATAACAACACACTGAAATATAATTTAGCGTTTGCAAAGGCTCTGTGAGGGATACAAATAAACTTACTTATAAGTCAGTAAATTGGTTTATGAGCTTAGAGGGGCAAAGGGACATTTATGGGAATTCACATGAAAGGCAAACATAACTGGATGTACTCTGGACCAAAGGTCAGAGAGGATATCTGTACAGTGGCAGCATTAGACCAATTGCATCTCCGTGCATTAAGCAGAAATCCCACTTGAAAGCCCTGTGATGATGAATACTACCGCAACTGTCAGCGGAGAGCCTGTAAATGAGCAACAGGTTCCACCTTTAATGGGCTTGGTATTAATGGAGTGTAGGGTGTGGTGCAGCGGGAAGCCAGTAATAATCAATTTCCTGCTGCTGTAATCATAGTCCTCTGTAAGTTAATTAGCATGTGTTGAGAGGCTTCTGCAGAAAAGGGGAGGTGGAAAAAAACAGCGTTGGTAGTGTGACACAGGCACTGAGACTGCAGTCTTGTGTCGGGCCGATTAGATTAAGACCAACATGAGTCATTGCATGACGGAACTAATGGTGCATCTAATGCATGTGATTTTGATATTTGTGAGATCCAATCAGTATTGCAGATGGACCTTGTCCACCCCCCCGTTTTCCTCTAGACACGTTCCAATAAGTCACAGAGAGAAACTCCATAGTATAAAACCATATAAAGTGGATAAACACTGCATTCACCAGAAGTGGTCTTAAGTGATTTTAAGAGAGTTCAACTTGATGCACACTGAAGAAAATGAAGGAGGCACCTCTGTGAGCCAACAGTGATTGGCTCATAGAGGCTGACTAGAGAAGGCCAGAGGCAGACGATCAGTCCAGCACCAAAAAGGCTGACACACAAGGTGATTATTGATTTACTGGAGGAACAACCAACTTATAATGGCAGTTGCTTCTAATGGAGAGAGGAAGAGATTAATACATTTTCTTCCATTGTGTTTTTTTTTTTTGGTGGGTTTGCTCTGGTGCTCTGTTGCTGTTGTATAATAGTAGAGTTTCACATTCAGTTTTTTCTGACCTGTATGGACTGCTTAAACCCATCAAATGAACAAACAACAAAACCAATATTGGACTGTAAAGTTGAACCCCTACAGCCCTGCCACTGCACGTACAGTCTATTTGAAACAGTAAATCATGTCACTAGTCTCTCAGAGTTAACAGGTATGCCAGGTAGTTTAATAAGCCTATTTGTGCCGCACCGTTGTAATGTGGTTACCATTGTCACCTCACAGCTAGAAGGATTGAAGTTACCAATTTGAATCCCAGTTTGGAGTATGGTGTTTGTCCTCTGCATGTTCTCGTCATGTTTTGTGGGTTTTCTCTGGGTACTCTGGCTTCCTCCCACAGACCCAAGACATGCAGACTGGGGTTAGAGTGACCAGTGACTCTAAATTGTTAGTATGTGCGAATATGTGTTAATGGTTGTTTTCTCTCTGACATGCCTTCAAACTGTCCAGGGTGTACACCGTCCCCCTCCCTATTAATGATGATGGATGGATACCTGTTTGTAGTAAATAGTGTAATTAAAATATAGGTGCAGACAAAAAGAATGGGCTGCCAAAAAACATCCATAAATACAGAATTTACTATTTTATGAATTGAAATTCAGGCTACAGTAAAAGTAAAAATAGTTAACTGGCATTTAAACTTAACTTTTTCTGAAAAGTTCCAGCCACACAGAGTCACTCAGGGAGAGTTAGAAGGCAGAGGCAGGTCGATGAGGATAAATCAGACCAGCCCGATTGAAAAGACGGAGAGTGAGTGTCAGCATCAGATGAGAGAGAGAGCGAGCGAGAGAGAGGCCGCCATGCTCCAGACAGCCTCTGCATCAGGTGCTCCAAACAGATCCAACAACCTACGCTGTTTTAGTCAATACAATGAACTCCACAATCTGTGTCCAGCTTCCCAAGAAGTTCTGTTAGATTTCATTGTGTTCTCTCACCCTGAAATAAAAAAGCCTGATCTGTGCTGCAGTGGTTTCCTCCAATACGTTTATATAAATGAAAAAATAAAAGCTGGTGAAGAGGGCCCTTTAGTTGGTGGATTAGGTTAAATGAATGGTGTAGAACATGTGAATATAATATTGTGATGAAATTGCTTTTTAACTTGAAAAAGATCTCTACTGCTGTTACTTTCCTCTTACACTATGTATTGCACATATCTTATCTGTTTGTTGTAGATAATCAAACAACCTCAGCACTGCTGATATTTTACTGATTCCTCCACAGTGGAGCCAGCAGCAAAATCCCTTTCTGCCATATTTGTTGATACTAAACATTGTTATGATTTAAATGTGTCAAATTCAAATCCAGACTGTAGGGAGATGTATCTGCAGGAACTGAACATGATATTCAAAATTATGTTTATATTGGTGTGTAATCACTTGAAACTATGAATATGACATGTTTTTATCTACATAAGGAGCAGGTCCTCTTCCACAGAGTCTGCCATATTGCACTGACATGATTCTACAGCCATTCCATGCGTGGAAGGAGAGAAGCAGCTGGGCATTTGGTTTCAATATGCAACTTCATTAGATGCCTGTAAATCCAACACACTGAACATGTGATGCCATGTTATGACAAAGTTACACTAATTCCCCAGCCATACTGTTACACCAGATAACAAGGAAGAATATTTGACAGCATAACAATAACTACATTTATTCTAATATTACATTTCCATCCAGGTGTTCCAGATGTAAGGCCTAGGTATAGTGCATGCTGGGACACGATGGAACAAAGACAGTGTTTTTAGAAGTGCTGTTAGGATTTTTAATTATGTTGCTTTTATGTCAAAATTTCCAGCAGAAAAAAAAATAGGCTTGTGGATTCTGTTGAATCAGTTAATGGTTTCATGTTCCATCACTTACCATTATCACTGTGTATTTCATGTATTTTTAGTCACTGCTGTAGAATCCTGTATTGTTCATCATTTGTTACATCAGTTTCAACTCAGGACTGCTCTGTTGTGTGTAGCATGTCCTCTGCATGTCCTTGAAGACTAATATTCAATATTCAAATATAAGTGCATTTACTTTTAGTCTTGTGGGGGGGGAAATCCATCTGCTGCATCCTGTCCCTGGGATACGTTCATAATAAGATCTGTTAAAAAATACTTAGCTTGAATATGACTGATATCATTTCATTAAATGTATAATTCAATAAAAGCTTTTAAATTACACTACGCAAATACCTTATTGACGATGTTGGCTGTAATTTGTTACAAACATCACATTGGCGACTTCGCCTGCTTGACTGTTTGATTGTTATCTTTCACACACTGTTCTGTTTTTGTACTAGTTTACTAAACACACATTAACAGCTTAGCTTTTCTGTCAATTAACTCGGCTCTGTCCAAAGGAAACACAATCTGTCTAATAGCACCTAATGTGCAGGACTACCTGTTGGCTTGGACCAGTTCATTGCTTGAGTTGCGTTGTAAAATAATCCAACAAGCTGCTCACATTACTATTCAGAGACAACTCATCTTACTCTTAGTGAGGAAACAATAAAAACAAACAGCTGCTTTAACTAACACAAACTTTTATAATATAACTTAATGAAGTGTTCACATGGTGCATATTAGAGGTGAATCTTGTTTCAAACATTATGAATGTTCAGAGAGTACTTGTAGTTTAAATACAACACAGCGATGATATGATTAAAGGCCTCTGATCCACAGCAGGAAGGTTGTGTATAATCCATGGTTAGTGTAGATGAGACAGAGGTGGCTGTGATGGGTTTAATAATGTTTAGAATTTGAACAAACAAACATCCAGCAAATGCATTAAAACTACAGTTAATGAATAATGGCCAGAAATATGCTTCTTCACTGTCACAGTGAAATTGACCTATAACCTTTTGGATATAAAACATCACCATTTCATCATTGTATTCAATTAGATATATTGATTTACAAACAACTAGCCAATGTTTCCCATTAATTATCTTGTGTGTGCCGCCCCACCATTTTCTAATTTCTCCCTCCACAGCTTCATGATGAAACAAACTTTTTTTATACTTCTAATGATAATATAAGAGATTTAATATTTGCTGCATGCTTGCAAAACAACTGGCAGTAGTGCAATTCCTTTAACATTCAGTGCTTCGACCACATCAGAACAATAAGGCCTATTTAGAGCTCAAACTCTGATTTAACATTGTGACAGACTGGGGACCAAAAGAGTTCTTCAGTCTGTTCAGTGGAGCCTGTGGGAATCTTCTGTTAGATGATATTCCTCTAATAAAACCTGTAATATTACCTGCCAGTGAAAACATTCTTTTAGTGAATACTGCTTGAAAGCTTGAATCAAGCGCTTGACCCACAAGCTTTGAGCAGATACGCAGCAGTCTTGTCAGTCGGGCTTTGGGTTGCACAGAAAGATAACTAAGAGAGTTCTTTTCACACCACTCCAGTGATCTATCTGTACAACAGATAAAAACTTGGGTCATCCTCAGGTCACAACAAAGATAACAGTGAAAACGTTAAAATAAATGTATTCGGAGTGTCAGATTTACAGTCATCTGTGTGTAATGTGAAAAGTAGTGGTGAACTCACACAGCCCTGTGGTGCCCCTGAGTAAGTGACGGAAATCGAAATGCTGTCCAGCAAAGAGTCATGATTTAACAATTGATAATCTGATAGACCTTGTTTGAATACTTTAACATTTATTTATCCACAGAATGTTGTTAGCCTGCTCCACATCCATACATTTGCTCAGAGACAAAAATATTCACTTCTCTGAGAGGTATTGTTTCGCTTACTTCTCAAACCATGGCCCAGTTGCTTGAACTCATTCTAAATTAAGTCTGTAAAATCTGCCCTCCACGCCACAACTGCTCTCGGCTGGGCTACAAAGGTCTTTGAACTTACCGTCTACACAGGCTGGCCTCGCCCTCGTGGTCCCGGCAATCTGGCCTCTCCGGCAGGCGCAGCGGGCCGTCTGCCTGGCAATGGTCCGTCTGGGAACGCTGCTGTCTCTGTTGAGCATCACTATCTCGCAGGTTCCCACCGCCAACTGGCCTGCAATACAGAGCAGCGAGGAAAAAACATTACATCGGCTTCATGAAACTGTAATAAACATATTACACAGGAGCAACTGGTGTTGGATGCTACAAACAACAGGCAGCCTGGACACAGAGCATTTTATGACTCTCATTTAAAGTCTCAAATAGAAAAATGAGAAACTGATGCCTGGGTTTTAAAGGCAGCAGGACTAGATTGCTTCTTCAGTTTTAAAGTTTTAAAGAGTATGGCTGGCTGCTCCTGTGATAAAAGTGCCTCACAAGTGATCATGTGGAAAACAAAACTTCCTCCAAGAATCTGTTAAGGGGACATTTTCTATTTGGTGAGTCATAACTGCAAGTTAACAAGCATACACGTTTCATGCTTCATGCCTCAAGATATGGAAGTACTAAACCAATATGCAGTCCATTTTACCGCGCTCAGATATTTGGGATAAAAGCAATAATGTTTTAATATTCTGAAAACCACAGAATTTGTTGTTTATTCAAATGACTGAATCAACCTCTGATTTCAAATCTGCCTGATCAAGACCACTGATACTCTGCAAATAAAGACTCTGTAAGAAGTCAGGGCAGATGGCTGGAATTGTTCCAGCACAGTAAAGACAGTATTGTTGGATGGTTAGTTCAACAAAACACAGTTTGTTTCTCATGTTCTATCGACCTTTAGTGTTGGTTCTGGATCGTCACTTTACCATAAGCAAGTATTGTTTGCATCTAAATCAAATCTGAGAAAACTGTCTCTGTCGCAATGTTACATGCATTTTCAAAGAAAGCACCAAGTGTTGTTTGGAAGCTGAGCATGGATGATTCCACTGTTCTCTTTTTTCGTTTTTCTCCGATTTTGTGGTTTTCGTTTAAAGCTAGAGTTTATAATCCTGGAAAAGGTAACAAGAGCTGATGCAATCAATAGATACCACCCACTCCCATCAGACCTCTTGTCAAAGCTACGCCCCCAAAACACATGAACATGCACTGACAACTGCCAGAAGCCAACTTCTCTGTAACTCGTTCACCAATTTCTGGCTATCGTCTCTGCTCCAGCAATGAATGACTCGCCGTCTGAAGACTCCAGGCATGTGCAGTGAGAGTGCTGGCAGGGTGCACGTAGGCAGGTAGGTTGGTTAGTGTGGGACAGGTACATCAGCCAATCATTTCATTTGGACTGAATGAATGACCAACCCAACCTTTACATGTCTTAGCAGCTATTGAAGGGATTAAAATGAGGATATTTATATTACATCACATTTTGATGTTATACAATATATAATAATTATGTCCATACAGTATACACTACATTCAGTTGATATTTTCCCACCATTTTCACAGGTGGTTAAATCAAAGCCATACTTCCACTTAAATCTTCTATTTGGATGTGGTGTTTGAGATCTGTACGTCCTTTGTTCAAATTTTAAATTAGTTCCAGGGGCAACAAAGCCATATTTCAAAATACTGAAACTTTGGTGTTTAGATGTTTTATTTGACTTATGAATTATTTATGTAACTACTGGCTAAAATGCTGCGTGACTTGGTTGACATGGCAGTGGCTGCCAGGCACCGTGTTCCTACAAAAGACTCATTTTCAAGCCAAGTGAAGCTCTACTGAGACGGCAAATGGATAGAATGTCTTAAAGTGATGATTACCTCGCTCCTAAATCTCCGCAGTGTGTGTGTGTGTGTGTGTGTGTGTGCTATTTTTATACTTCTATCCATGCACAGAGAATTACTTCAGAGCTCTCCAGGCATTACAAATTGATGGATAAGTCTCTGGACAGGAACCTGTGGTTAACCGTGTTTTGGAGTTTAGAGTTTGTCAGAATATGATCTATAAATTAATTACAGAATCTGCAGAAATCTACAACACACAGGGTGTTTCTACAGCAAATGGAATACTTGGAAGAGAACAAAAATTTACCACAAAAAAAACCTTTAAGAATAAATGTTATTCATCATCTTGACTTTTTTATGTCAGGGGAGTTGATAAAAAATATTGTATTTATACTTTTCACTCAACTTTCTAGTTGGTAAATTGCACACTGAAAAGATTCTCATTTGAAACATGTTCATTTGAAAGCAGCTTCGTATTCAAACGAACTCCATGTCCAGGTGAAGAGACGGGTTTTGAGGCCGGAACTGCAGCTATAGCTCAAACATGTTTTTGATTAACTGATTAAAACTTTCCAACAGTTACGTGCAAACAAAGGAAGAGCTGTAACTATCATGTTTTCAGTGTTTGGTTTTAATGAAATGTAAACTCTGTGTGGCCTTTTGCAGCTGACAATTTCACTGAGCTCTTTGTGTCGAGGTAGCAGTTTTTGTTTGGGGGAAATAATCAGAAACCCAAGGGAACATTTAATTGTCTTTTATTCCGGCCTTCCTGGTGTGTTTGAGGGATTATTATTATTAGCTATTAACAGTCTTTTGTTGCAAAGATAAACAGCTTTTAGTCACAGTAAACTGCCCAAGGTTGGAAAAAAGGTTTCAATGTATGATGATTAATTTGTCACTTAAATCTGAGGGAAATTTGTTGCAGCCTAAAATGAGCAAAAAAAAATTTACAAATAACAACTTGAGGACTCACACAGGGTTGTCCATGAGGGATTTAATAACTTCCTGTACTCAGGCATCCCTGCATCAACTTCCATTTGTTCAAAATGCTGCTGCTCTAAGATCTTTACTGCTTTAACAAAATGCGGCCATATAACTCGAGTCATTCTCGTCTCCCTGCATTGGCTTCCTGTTTGTTTCCTTTTATGACTTTCAACTACCTACTACCTGAAGCCTGATTGTTAACTATGTAGAGGCTAAATTTTA